CATCCTGTACACGCGCACATGACTGAGGCAGAGGGTTAGTTGGATTTTTAGGGGTAGCCCGCTACCCCTAACCGTGTCATCCCTATTCAGGCCTAGACGCGATCCCTTGAAATTGCATGAGCGTGAGTTTACGAAAAGGTGGAAATAATGCCGAAGTTCTACGGTGAATCCGTTAACTTCTCGTCGCTCGGTTTCCTTATGTCGTCTGAGCGATTGGCTCATTTGATAGATATAATTAAGCAGACGAGCGTAAAAAATGCATTACTTTTTGCAGATATAATTATCCCATAATCAATTTTTCTCAGAAACGCGAAAATAAATTTCTTAATTAATTCAAATTCAATTAAATCAATTAATTTTAATATAATTATTTTCTCCGCGACGTGACAGATCAATCAATTTTTTCTCAATTCAATATATTATTGTTATAAAAAAGGAATAAAATATATAGTAACAAATATTCTACGTTCGAAGCATCTGATAAAAAAATACAAATGTGACAAAACTGTCAGATTTTTCACGGACATTTTTAATTGAGCCAATCGCTCACGTAGAAATAGAGGGTGTCGGAGGTGTATAGAAAACTCCATTGGCTATTAGGTCAATCCCCGTGCATCGGTATCAGCTTGCAGGCATTGTGTTTCATTATCCACGAGTATATTAGCTTCCTTTTCTTCCTTCTGCGTCGAGCTAGGTTACATTAAACCGTAGATTTTCAACGGATCTCCGTCACTCTTTCCTACGCTGCCTCCGTTGTAGAGAACGAGAAAAAAATGTGAATCAAATCCGTCTAGTTGTACAATAAAGCACAATGCTCGAATTCCACAAAAAGCTGCGCATTGTGATGTGAAATTATCATGTTCGACAAATGGCGAACCCGCAACTTGTTTTGAATGAGAAATACGGAAAATCCTTTCGTTCGATTTTAAACAATCCACATTAATAAAATATTCTCTTCCATAAAAAAAAATTTTTATCTTTGTACGAAATCGATTACTATAATAAAATCTTTTTTCTTCTCTTATAAACGGCCGTGATAATTCTTTCCAATGTATTTTTAATTTTTTAATTTTTAACGTTGAGATGAAAAAGCATTATAACTGGTTCGTATATCTTTTTCTTTTCTTCCATCACATCTCTTTCTCTAGTCTGTTCTTCCATGAAGTCACATAAAACGCATTAAACCATGCCTCGCCGTCGATCTGAACTTATTAGCATCGATTATTCCGTTCTGGAATGTGGTCTTGGCGCTTTTCTCAATACGGATGGCTGACTAATTCACCTTGTCGGTTATCTCGCCGCACTTTCTTCGCTTTGTAATACACAAATTGCGCAGGATATGGATCAATAGGCCCGTAGCTCAGCCGCGCACAAGTCGACTGAAGTAAAACTCGAAGAAGCAATAAAAGATTTGCTTCTTTGTTCGCGAAGACAGTATTTAGGATTTTTATTATGCTATAAATATAATTTTCCGTTTTAATCCGTTTCATGAAACATATAAAAAAAATAATACCTCTTTTTTAAATCATAATTATGTTAATTAGATATTCAATAAAAAGAATATATTGAGATTTCAAAAGTTTTTACAAAAAAAATACTAAAAAGACATAATGAGAACAAATATTATAACGTACAAAAACCATTTTAATAATTTTTTAAAATACTTATGCTAAAGATTAAATAAAATTTTAATTGTATTTTATGTGAATTTAATTAGCATATATCACAAAAATATAAAAAATATAAAAAATTACGATAATATGTACTACTTTTTAAATTGCTTTGATTATTGTGCTAATTGCTCTACAATTTGCATATGCGATAAAACACGTGGGAGAATACGCCTTCAGTAATCAGATAATTGCTTCCTTTTTGTATTGTACGTACTTTGTGTCATCATTTCTCTAAAGAATTATAGAGCTGTGCATTTAGAATAAAAATCGCCTGTGAGACGTTATAAAATCCTTTTTCCATCAATAATTTGCCTTATAAATGTGCGGTTTAGTGAGCATAATGCATACTCTTTGCGCGTCGCAAGAACAGAGCTAGCACGAAAACAGGAAAGAAAAAATTGGGTCGTAAAATTGTGGTTGTCTAAGGTACAACCAGGTGCGAAGAAAGAGGAAAGCAAGAAAGGGGAGATGAGAATGGGTTGAAAAAAAGTCGTCGATCTGTGCGGGCGCTTATAACAGCATTTCTAAGCTAGTCAAGCGTATAAAAAATAATTATACGAGTAACTGTAAATGCAGAAACGGAGCTTCGCTTTCTTCTTGTCTGGTTTGAAGCGCGTAAAATTTTTTCCCGCGATCGTAAAACGGTTTCTCGAAAATCGACCGCAGTCGATGCAATCGGATGCTTCTGGTTAAGCCATTCGCACGCGAAATCGGTTTCCGGTTACACATTAAAAATCTTGTTTAAAAGTCACAAAAGCAAAGTATTTTATAATTTAGCAAAAGTATTCTTTTTTGCTCTAAAAAATAGTGTTCAATTTTAAATATTGTCATTAACTTAATAACTTAATCGCAATTTAATTGACTATTTATGTTAACTTCGTTATTAAAGCAAACTGGATTTATAAATACTATAATGCATCATGGACATTTCTACACGCCATTTTGGCCGTCTAACAGTCATCGGGCATCCTGACAATGGGCCAAAAGTAGCCAGGGGTAGTGTGTGGACAACATACTGATCCATTCCGGCGGGGGATTCGACGGGGGTGCCGCGCAAGGGATCGCCCTTTACCCTCCCGATGGGCGAGCCCATTGGTCAGATCAGAGTCTGTCCCTGGACGGGACTATCGATTATTTGTTACCGATTTCCAGGCTGTACCTGCAATAGAAGTACAGTTCCTGTCTGCTCGCGGCAGGAGGTGTGGTCTGCCCTTTGCTGCAGCACCTACGGGGCCCTTTAAAACCTGCTATGCAAATCGACCCACCGCCGACTTTCCCAGATGATCCCGCCGCGAATCTCAGCTGATCGCAAACGACGTGGTTCTTTATTTTGTCATCGTGTGGGCCGCGCACGTCGTTTCATTAAATCAGCGTTGCGCGCCGTCTTATCGCGATGGCAATTAGCATATCGAGAGAACGTTAATGTACGAGAATTACTCGCATCTTCTCGTGGGAGTCGAAGGGAGTTACGAGCGTACAAGGCTTTGTGTGGTACGCTTTCCGATAATCATCATAATTTATTTGTTTACTAGCTATTGGTTTAATAATAAAAATTATGTGCAGGCAGACAATTATATTCTTTTAGCTACAACATCTTTGGCCAATTTTCTCAGAATTCTTCTTAAAAGGAGTCATAATTTTATTACTTTTTTCCCATTTTTTATATATTTTTTATTATTAAATCTTCAATAAAAATTTTATTAAGATAAAAACCATCTAAAATTGATTAAAGAGAATTTAATTTTCATGCATTTTTGCTTTAAAAATTTAATTCATCAGAAATTTTTCCTTTTAAATCGTTAATTACTCAAAAATTATTATATTATATCAACATTTTTGTTGAATCACGATTAATTTTATACAGGCCATTTGTAGCAAAAAGAATATTTGATAGTTTTATAACACACCTTCTATTTTACTTTCTTTTTCGATAACAAAAAAAAATTTGGGATGGAAAATACGCCATCAATATTAATATCACGTGTAAGACTAACACTCGCAAACTTGGAGAAAAAATAACTATCCAACTCTGACTGGAATACGGGATTAAAAACTTGTCACGATTTACATTAGCTCACTCTTTTTATCTTTCTTTCTCTCCTACCTTTTTCTGTATCCACAAGCAGAGTCAATCAGAGCGGAGTGCCGTGTGTGTGTGTGTGTGTGTGTGATGCTGACGTACGTCGCAATTAAAAATTGCGTGGTCTGGCAAAAGGCGGACAATCATACTGTCAGCTGGAAGGACGATAGCTCCCTTTATCCAGCGAGTCTTTGGTCCCGTCTTTTTATTTCCTCCCGCTGTTCGTCCGATTCGAGAGAATCAAAACGTCCCTTCAATGTCGCAGTGGGGCAAAGAGATTATTTTCGCGGATATAAAATTTCCACGAGTACGTGGAAACGTAATAAAAGTTGCGGCACAGCTTTCTGAAATTCGAAGGAGAAAGAATATATTTTTTCGCATCTTGAAATGAGATTTTATTCTTATACTTTTTTTTTAAATATTAAATTCTTATAAGCACTACTTTTATAATAGAAATATTAATTTTTATTTATTCTTTTATCGTTAATTGTTAATTTAACTTGCAAAATTTAGTTCTGCAAAAATACTCCTTTACAATTTACATATCCATAATATGCTTTAATTGTTAATAGAACGTAAAAATTTAAGTGCAATGTTCAAAATATCTACTTGGTATCAAAATTGACTTGAAACTTCTCATTTCCATAAATCAAATTAATTCTGGAAATATCTGACGTTTCTATTTTTCACTTTTAAATGATGTGATATCAATATTGCATATCAAGGATTAAAATAGAGAAATTATAAAGTTAGTTTGTGCATTACTATAAATAATCAAAATAAATTGCATCATTTATGATACAATATCTTTTTCTTCTTTGTTTCCATTCCATGTTATTTCTTAAAATAAAAGTGTTATTTAAACACCAGAGAACAGATCATTAAATGCTAAAGTCATCTGCAAATCTAGATTTAGCATTATTACAAGAATAAATTCAATCCATAAACAAAAAATGTTGAATAAAGTATGTTAGCGTTTAGAAACACGATAAAAACAGTTCAACACTTATACATTTGATATATGACTTTTCTGCTGTGTAAAATATTCTCTTTACAATCTGTTTATGCAAAAATTTTATAACAAAAGATATAGAATATAATCTCAAAAATCTTACAAAAGAATTCATAAATGTATTAAACCTGCAAGCAAAAAGTGATGAGTCTAGACAGCGGAAAATGAAGATGCAACTTGTATGGACCACACCGTCGAGTTTAGCGTTAAAAATCAATCGCGGTCCACCGCGCGGTAATGGAAGCGCGTAATTCGGCGCGCGAATGACATTAATTTCCAGACGACCTGACACACCGACGTGTCGCGCTCTCGCTCGAAATAATCGCGCAAATAGACGCAAACCAACCTGGGCATCCATATTCTCTGCAAAGAGCAAGACACAGCGCACGACGACGCTGCTACATCACACTGGTCATTGCTCCGCGACGTCGCCATTTTGTGGCCGCGCTCGCGCGCTGGCTGGCAAGCTGGTAACTTAAACGGACTTCAGATGGTGTGCGAGTGTGCGTGAACTTGCGTGCGGGGGCGAGGGGCAGCCACGTGACTCGCGGGACCACGCTTCCGGATTGGCCCATCGCGGCGCCTCGGGTGACGTAATAAAGCGACGACGCGCAGACTACCTAGGCTAGCGATCGACGACAACTGAACGAACGTACCCACCCACCGGTTGTGCGTGTTTCATGTATCTATGTGTTCATCGTACGCGTGTGCGTACGCTCGCACGCGGGAAAGAGAGCAGTCGACGAACGAGCGTCGCGTCGCGAATTCTTGAATTCGGTGGATCTGCTCGTGATATCATGCGATTTATTCAGTACCGCAGGCCGTACGACAGCATCTCACGCGCAAATGATCGACGTTTCGAGAGGAGGTATGGCATGATTCTGTATTCTCTTCCCCTCGGGTTACACGGCTTTTGCTTTACGCGTTGTGATGATAAGACTTTATGGAAATCGCTAGAGAGGTTATTTCGCGAAGTGTTTATTTTTGGCGTTGTAGGAAAATTGCGTTGTAAAGCAGCAATTTTGAGGAAATTGAATGTTTCCAGGCTAATTAATCATTAAAATATGTAATACACAATACATTTTACATACTGCTTTTCAGAATAGAAAGGTTTATTTTTATTGTACGAACATTACTATGTCAATCATATCGATTATTTGAACTTAATTATCGATCATATACAAATATATTTTCAATTTTTACTCTTGAATGTTTGTTGTACAGCAAATTCATAAATTTATTCTTTTGTTATGACATAACCGCATTTACTGGAGCAATTATGCGATAACAACGCAATGCTAAGAATTAAAAGTAAAAATTACATATGTAATCATTTCTTCATTATATTATTGATTACAAACTACAGCCTGTTTACGTAATTAACGATTTCTCAATCGCATTCTTGGGAAAAGCACTGATGTCGGACATGGAAATAATCATAGATCATTATCAATGAATCATCGCTTTCTTAGATATCTTATAAAATATTTACACGTCGATTTTAACACCATCATTATTCGCCATCTACTTTCTACTGACATTATTTTATATATGCTCGCATTTCACAAAGAATGTAGATCTTGTACACTTTCAATAAAAATAGCAATTTAAATAAGAAACGTCAGACGCGTTTTATGCAGCATAAATTGAAATTTAATATTAATTGACTTTCATAATCTCGAAATCACAAAGTGCAAAAAATATACGTTTGTGGAATAATCGTCAATCATTAATTTATCTTTTGCTTTATTAAAATGTGTAGCAAAATGTGAAGTAAAATGTGTCGCAAAAAACATGTTAATTTTGGACGAGAGTCTCTTTTGAAAAAATGTATGTCAGTACGTTATTACGGCGATTGAAACGAACGAGAGCCAAATAGGCTCGAAAAATGAGTTAGCTGTTTTGATAAGATAGTGAGAAAAAAAGATCGAAGACGAAATAGCCGATTTCCAGGAAGGAAATCGAAGCGAGATGAAATTGCGACGGATATTATCAATTTAGTAGTCGCGAAAGTGGTCCCTGAAAAAGGAAAAAATAAAATGAACGACTCACGAGAAATTAGAACTTCGTAAAATCAGCGTTAGAACACTTCGGATTTTGTTCGTTTCGATTATTACTTGAATATTTGAAGAATAAGTATTCTGACAATTAAATAATTAAAAATATTCTCAATATTAAATTCTTAATATTAAAATGTTTTCAATTTATGCATTTACGTTTATTTTTACGATTATGAAACTTTTCACCTCTTATCTGTCTTACTTTTGCGGATTATTTTATTTACGATATTGATTTATTATTGAAAAACAAGACAATGATATGTACAGTGGCGTCACAATAACTTCATTTTATTTGGATAAAATATTTATTTATTCAGTAATTAATATTTTTGTTATCTCTCTCTGCTCGTTAGTGAATTCAATCTCAATTACATGAAAAGTTAGTATGTAGATATTTATTCCATAATTTTGATATGATAGTAGTGTGTGTGCATCTGTTTTATCTTACAATTGAATATGGAAATGAATAAATATTTTATGAAACTCGCCGGCGATTGATCGAAGCGTTCCGTGCATTCGTGACATCCGGATATGCCGCAGAATCCATCGGTTTCGATCTCGCCGCAGGCGTGCGTGACACATGTTTTACATGAGACTCATCTGATCTCGATTTACAGGTTAACGAGCAAGGAAAATCGATGATCGAGAGAGAGAACATCGCGGGATTTGAAAAAGCATAAGGGTAACTCTCCCACACGTAGTGGGGGTAACGAACAGGAGAGAGATCGAGCACGAGTCCTCCACCAGCATTCCGTCACGGGCGCTCGTGACCGGCGGTTGTGTTTCGTTGCCGTTAGGCGTATTTCGCTGAGAAAATCGCGCAGCGTTTTTCGCGGGGACGTGTCCAGGAGCCAGTGATGTGGAAAGCTCGAGGGAGGTTGTTTCCAGCGATCTACGTGGTCTACGGCGATGTATGGGTTCCCTCTAACTCCAAATTGCTGATTCGTACACCGACAGGATTTCCAGGTAAGGCTAGGTTATTACATTAAAATTAATTAGCGTATTAATTAAATTAATTGGATAAAAGATCATGGATATCAATGTTGCAAAATTGCTATAATAAATCATTCCCGTGAAAACTATGAGATAAAATTTGATATGCTTTGTTTAATAATAAGTGACACGGTAATTTTAAAAAATGATTAAAATAGAATATGATTTTTGAGCAGTAATTGTGAAGTTTCTGCTTCTATCATAAATTGATATTTTTCGAGTAAATAATTTTAACAAGGGATTATATATGCGCCGATTAAATATTGGTAATAATCAATTAATTAAGGAGCTAAATTTGCAAAACACAGCTATAAATCAATAATTTACTTTATACAAACTATTTGTTTGGAAATTCGAGTTTATCAAAACCTGGAAATCTTTATGACACCGTTAGCGTTTCCATTGTTTTCCGTTTCCGAGAATTATAAATATTTCCAATGTTGAATATAATAAAGTGCACGCGCGCGATGCACAAGTAACGCACACTGTTGCATATTTATGCAGTTTTAGTGATGCAATAGTTTAGCAGGAAACAGAATTATCAATAATTAATCACCAAGCACTAAACATTCGTTTTATTAGCGGAAAATAATTAAATATTTCTGTAGAGATAAAATCTCTAGCTAAAATAAATTTAAAAATAAATTTCTGATATCTATTTTATATCTTTGAAGCTTTAATTTAATTTTGTTGATTGAGTTAAAATTTAGAGAGAACTTTGACATCAAAAAAAATATTCTTCCAACACATTATAGATAATGAAAGTACGTATAAAATGATGAAATTATTTATTCCCGAGGTCTTCACTTTTTCCTAAGATATATTATTTATCGGTGCCGTTTTATGATTCTAAGAACTTCAATTTTTTATTTCGTCTGGTTTTTTGCGGATGTGACAATTTCACGCCAACGAGGCGTTTGGGACTGTTGATCCAACTTTTTTGCACTGCGATGCGATTTCGAAGCTTCTGCTCGTTTCGCGAAATTGTAACGGCGAGACGTACATGGTCCACGGGAACGCGAGTTTGTCACGAAAATTTACAAGGGTCAGTAAAGAAGTCGTGCGTACGCGGCGTAATTTAAGTGCGCTACTAATTGACGTTAATGCGATTTTCTTCTCGCTGCACTTTAGACCGCGGCGCGAAACTTTCGCGGATCTCATGACGATCGAACAATCTCGCCTTTTTAAATCGGCGCGGCGCGGATGACGTCGCTCGTCGGCGAAGTTGAATGACCCCGTCACGGCCCATGTATTATCATGTTATTATAATCGAGCCGTGCTTTCGGGCTAATTGAGAACGCGATTAATTAGGGCTGGGCACCGATTCGGGCGCTGGTTTCGCCAGTGTATTTAGTAAGGCAGAAAGAGGAGGAGGAAGAGGCTCGTATAAATCTCATCTGATAAAACTGCGCGCGCGAATACATCGCTCTCTATCTGGAGAAATGTAATTAGTTTGTAATAGAAGAATCGCGCGAGTGTGTTGATCTAAGCGCTGAGATAACGCGATCTTTTGCTTGTTTGTGTATAATCCTTGGGTGTGGTGATAATTTTCGAAATTGATAATAATTTTTGGAGACTTCCTAGAAGGCGAGCGTACTTAAGCAACATGATATTTGATATAAAATAGTCCATACATTTTTGTGTGAAATGTATAATTTAAAAATTATGTAGATACTTTTCGAAAAGATGGTTTTACGAGAACTTAAGAATTATGAGTCTGAAATTTTATCAGCTGCTATACAGATCTGTCTTCGGTAATCCACCACGAACGATTATTCGTTTGTTTAACGCGCCTCTCCGGTATGTTTACGGAGTATAAAAGGCAGTGGAAGATAAATTTGCACGATGCGAACGAGGCACGTACTCCACTTCCATGCTGAAGTCCGCGTAACACGATATGTGTATTCGCGGCCCGATTTCTGGAGCGCGAATCGGTCGGAGCCGAAGGGCGAAATACTTGCCGGACGTGCAACGAGCGCGCAAAAACGCCAAGGCAAGGTTACTCGAACCGGCATAATTTCATGCGGCTTTTTACGCTCGTTACGTGATTTTCATCTTGACGCCATTCGTTACGCTTCACCGTTCATTGTCTCTCGCGACGCAGATCCGTGAATTTCTTTATCGAAAGATCGAGAGGCAGAGCGGAATATGTTTTGTGAAACGACTCGTCGATCGGTTCGAGATATCCCGTTGATCGCGCTGAAAATATTTGTACATTGATGAATACGGCAAATAGAGATAAAATTTTGGAATGCCAGAATGAATGTGATACGCGAATAAAGTATTAGTGAGCGCGGAAATCTCCGATATCGAACTGACAATTTTTTATATGGGCTTTACAATATTTCAAAATACAAAACAATATAAAATGTGCGTAACGTAATATTCAGACATTTTCGTTTCGGGTTACCATTTTTATACAAAAGTTGAATTAATCAAATAAAGGAATAAAAATAAAACTTCAATCGTATTCGATCGGAAGTGCAATTCTCGTTCATTCAAAAT